GATGTCTCTCAGCAGCACAGCCAGAGACAAAATCAGATAGCTGCAAAAAGGTTGCAGCAGATTAGGGTCTTCTTTACCTGCAATGTTTATTTTATCTCTGACTAGTAGCCATTGGGTACAGTTTTCCATGATATGCAAACCACAAAGACTATAAATGGCCAAAATCTGTTTATGTTGCAAATAACTGGGTGCCAATTTTAAGATCTATAGTAGAAGATTCTTTAGCTCAGAAGTTTTGGACTTCTGGAAAGTAATAAACAACTTGTGAGCCAGAGATGTAGTGAAATTGGCAGAATATTTGAGCCCCAGTACCACATGAAACATGGTACGTTGGCCCAGGCCAGTAATTTCAGCACTTCTAAGGCAGCCTGGGCTGCATGAGTGAAAAAAAAAAGAACAATAAACCACTTGGGGAGTTAATCTTCAGTTCATTTGTATAACAGATTCACATGGACGTTCTTTTTTTAAGTTTCTTTTTATGTGTATGAACGCATTGCCTGCATGTGTGTAAGTGCACCCATGTTGTGCACTATTCACAGAGGATAGAAAAGGGTATTAGATATCCTGGAACTGGGATTATGGGTGGTTCTTAGCCACCACATGGGTGCTGGGATTCTAACCTGGGTCTTCTGCAAGAACAACCAGTGCTTTTAACCACTGAGCTATCTCTTTAGCCCCATATGGACATTCTTATACAAGTCACTGGCCAGGGGTCAGCAAGATGGCTCAGCAGCTAAAGCACTTGCTGGGCAAGACTGATGATCTGAGTTTAATACCTAGAGCTCATATAGAGATGGAACAAAAAACCAAACCCCTCAAAGTTGTCCTCTGATCTTTGTATGTGTCCTTTCTGCCATCTGTGGCAATAATAATAAATTTGTTTAAAAATTCACTGGCAAAGAGGAACAACTTACATCTTAAATCTTCTTGGCCAAGATAAAATCATAACTTTCTGTACTTTGGCAGGTAAATTAAAAGAATCAAAGAAGCATTTGCTTAGGCAGATGAGAATATCAGAACTATTTGAGAAACAGATTGGCCTTTTGCCATGCGTTGCTGTGTTTTTCGTGAGGAGGTGTGGTTATCTTTAGGTAGAAATAAAAAAGCCCTTTTATTTGTATAGTTGCATCTTATTTTGTTAATTTGCATCTACCTTCTATTAAAAATATGACTTCTTAAAATGAAATGTGCCGTTTCTCTTCGGACATCAACCTGAACACAATTTACAATTGTGTTATCTATGAGCCAGGGTTAACAGGGGAATGCTAACCATGAAGTCTTTGAAATGGGTTAGAGAAACTTGGACTCGATAGAAGTATCTATACAAAGTTATAACTTGGTATCTGTATGTTTTAAGATAAGCTATCTGATGTCACATAGCAGTAACAAATTGCTTTCTAACTCTGACAAATTATCATGATGAAAAAGCAATACTTGCTATACTACAAGTTCAGAATGGCTTGGAGAATGTTTGATGAACTATAGTCACACAGAGCACAGCCTAACCAAAGGTCTATCATCCTACACCATTCCATCTGAACTATTACACACACAGGAACATGAAAACAGAATCTGAAAAATGACTTATCTTATTTCTGCTCATATCTCATTGGCCAGAATTAGTAAAAATCTAACTTTAAAGGGATAGGAAAATGTTAGAGGGATAGTATAGAATATTGGATAGATACATTTTCTGTGACAGTTCTATCTTTATAACGCTTTTTTAAAAATTGCATCTTATTGATTTTGTGTGTGTGTGTGTGTGTGTGTGTGTGTACATGTTTCACACTGCACATGTTGAGGGTCAGAAGACTACTTACAGTACTTGATTGTCTCCTTCCACCATGTGAGTCCTGGGGATTGAACTCAGGTAGTCAATCTTGGTAGCAAGCGCCTTTACTTGCTGAGGCTTCTTTCCAGTCCAATGTTTTCGGATTGGGGTGGGAAAAGGGAGATTTGTCTTCTTTTGTTTGTTTAGAGGACCAAGTCCCACTGTATAGCCCTGACTAGCCTGGAACGTGTTATGTAGACCACGCTGGCCTCAAACTCCCAGAGTTCTCCTTGCCTCTTCCTCTAAGTGCTGGAATTAAAAGTATGCATCACCATGCCTGGAAAGTTATTGAGAATAATATATCTGAATTTGGTTTTCTGTTTGTTTTCTTATCCACTTTTCATTAACTTTTGGTAGTTAGCACACAAACAATGGATTTATGATATTTTCACACACATTTATATATATATATATATATATATATATATATACACACAATACATCTGATGAGGGACTTCAGGGGACACTAACTTGGCTAGATAGGTCTTAACATAAATGACAGAATGCATGAAATCTAGTGTGGGGGGCTGCTATGGGAGGGTTCCAAAGGGGAAGAAGGTATAAAGATGATTAAGTTGTTGTGCATGAAATACACAAAAATTAAATAGAAATATAAAAAAAAATCTGATAGATACATAATAGTCTTGTTCAGCTGTTAAGAATAATGAGATGATGTCATTTGCAGGAAAATGGATGGAAGTGGAGATTGCTGTCATATTAAGTAAAATAAATCAGACTCAGAAAGATTAATAACATTTTCTCTCCTAGGTAAAATCTAGGTAAAAGTATATGTATATATATTTGCAAAGAAGATATAAAAGTAGAAAGGACCTGTGAGGGGGAGGAAAGAATCTGTATTTGTTTTTTTAAATGGCTATTTAATACACAACCATAAGCACATGGCTTAAGAAAAACACATTTATGTTCCTAAAGTTCTGAAGATCAAACATCTTAATGGGTGTCCTAGGATTACCATCAGTGTTGGTATCCTTGACTGTGGCTCTCTTCTAACTTCAAAGCAGAATGTCTAATGTCGTCTTCCTTTTATCATGTCACTATGACTTTGGCTCTTCTTTTTCCATCTCTTACATATAAGGACTGTTGTGACTTCATCCAGTGTGAAGAATCTAGGATATTCTCTGTATTTTAAGGATCAAGTGATTAGAATCTCAATTCCATCTGTGATCTTAATTCTCCTTTGCCATGCAACATATCATATTCATAGATTTGAGGAAGTTGAACCATAACATATTGGGGTTCCAATTTCTCTGAATGCCAGAGTAAATATGAAAACACTGGCAAGTTTCTGCACACCTCCATTAATGCTTTTTTTTTGCTCAATGACTTTATAAAAAGTTCATTTTTAAAAACTAAGAATTCTTCTTTTTATTAGTTCATAAGAGTGAAGACTATATTGAAATGTGTCTTCCTTTTTGTCTTGAGTAAAGGAAGAAGAAAGTGAATTCAGCAATACATTGCCATGGGGAGTTTTAATACTAGTTCCTAGAACAAGAAAATCCTGTTCTTTATGTTGTCCTGTAATTTTCTTTCAGAAAAAAAATTCCTCACTATTACTAATGTCTTGTATGTAAGATTATTGTGGGTGTGGATTTGAACCTATGGCTTTTTCACGCTTTCCTTTCGGCCTCTCACATTTCTTCCTTTTTTTTTTTTTTTTTTTTTTTTTTTTTTTTTGCCTAGCATGAGGACAAAAGGCCTCCAGCATCATAGTAAGACCATGACAAACAGATCAAAATGTTGAGGATGGCATAACAAGGAGATGGAAAGAATTTTGTCTTTGTATCAGTGCCCTGCTGTTCACTCAATGCTTTCTGCTTGTGAGAAAAAAAAAGAACACCCGATTTGCAATGTTTCTGTTACACTGACCACTCTCTGACCTTCTCCCTTTATGATCATATACATCCAATGCTCTCATTAGTGAAATTATATTATAGAAAATGGAGCTTCCAAATGTATCCCCAGCTGGATCATGTGTTTTAAATCACTTTACAGAATAACCTGTTTGTATTTACTGATTTTTTTACAGTAGGAACCACTGTTCACCAATTCTTACTTCAGACCAGCATTCAGAGGTGATGGGAGGTTTCAGGAGCCCTCTGCTGGACTGCTGTCTCATTGCTTTTGTCTCTTTGCCAGCTAGAGTTCTTGCCTATCTCAATTAAAGTTCCTGGGGATTAAGTTGATACTTAACATAGTAATTCTCAAATAGGCCATCAAGTTCTGATTTCTGCTTTGCTTCTTTTTTCACTAAAACTTCTCTTCATAGTGCCCAACATCACTGCATCTCTGGATTATATAACTTCAAATCTTCAGTATTCTCTACTCTGAACAAAGATTGTGATGTCTGAAAACTATATTTGAAACCATAATAGTTCTTCATGTAAGGAATAGGAATCTGGAGTTGGAGAGCGTGGACTGCTCTTACAGGGGACCTGGCTTTAACTCCCAACACTTACATAGCAGTATATAACAATCTGCAACTCCAGTTTCAGGGGATTTGGTGACCTCTCCTGACCTCCATGGGCTTTGTACACATGTGATGTACTTACATATATGCAGGTAAAACACTCATATATATATAAAATAAAAATATAAATAAATAAATAAATAGGAATCTGTGCAGCTTATCACAAGTATGCGACATTAAAAAAAAAATTCCCGTGAAGGGCTAAGCTGAGCTGCAGAGAGCTTTGTTTGTTGGTCCTGGATTAATCAAGTAAGGCAGCAAGAAAATTAAACTAACAGTCAATGTTTTATTTAGTTACTATCATAGCATAAATTAAATAGGAAAAAAGTTCTTCCATCTTCAAAGGGTCAGGTTAGATCACTGCAGAGGTGGGGATTGGGAGGGAACATGGGAACAAACCTTGATAAAATTCAATGGAGTTGGATCTACTATCTCTGTCAAAATTCAGATTTTCTTTCTAGCTTATCTGCCTTTGCTCAATTTTGAATCTGGAAGTGGCCACTTCCCACAGCTCTCTACAGTTTTCTTGTTACTTCAGTTGCCCATTTCATAAGTATCTCAGCTTTGTTTTATATGTATAACATGATCTTAAGTTTATAACATGCATGTAGTGGAACTTGTAATTTCATATTACCACTTCTAGTTCTTGATGTATTTTCTTATTATTTTAAAACAATTTAATAAGAGAGAGTGCAAACACAGTCCCCCACTATGACAATTATGCAGTTGTGTTTCCTACATTGGGGAAATGGCAGAGGCCATCACATCCAGAGTGCACTGGAGGAGCATTTCCCTATGAAAACCACCTTTATGATCATGGTCTCTCCCCTGACAAGTAAGTATAATATATTCTTTATTATATTTGTGGAAAACAGATTTATTTGGCATAAGCTATCTTCCTTTTAAAATATTTTATTATTTTGTATTTAGTGTGAATGAGTGTATTGTCTGCATGTGTAAAAGTATACCCATGTTATGCAATGTTCTTGGAGGTCAGAAAAAGGCATCAGATCCTCTGGAACTGGAGTTATGGATGGTTGTTAGCTGCAATATAGGTGCTGGGAATTGAACTTGGATCCTCTGCAAGAGGAGTCAATGCTCTCAACCACTGAGCCATCTCTCCAGCATGGTATATAATTCATAAAAAATGTAAAATTATGCAGGTATTTGGAAATTACTGCAATCCATAAAAATATGCTGAAGTTCTATTAGACTCTGATATTACCTATTTTCTGTATCTCCTGACTAATTTTATTTGAGAAATGGTGATTGTGTATATAGGATACCTGTATAAACCTCTGGATATTATAGTGGTAGTTGGTAATATTTTTAAGTCAAAGACTATTCATTACACAATGTTTTAAACCTCTTTGTATTGAAGCTAGAAAAAATTAAATACTATTGTCATCAATCTAGTTAAGTCTTTAGGTTGAACACATTACTTTTATTGTTGTGCTTATTATTATTATTTTGGGGAAACCATCAGAAATAAATTAGTTTAATTTTGTTAAGAAACCCAACAGAAGGTATTACACTAATGCTGACAAATAAATATCAGCAAGGAACAATAAACAGATTATGACAAAGTCAATATGCTTTTGAATAATGTTGAACAAATTACTCTTTCCAGCAGTATAACAACTAGAAAACCTGAAAAAAGCCAGTAGTGGTGGCACATGCTGGTAGGATATGCTTAAGAGGCAGGAGAATGTGGAGTTCGAGGCTAGCCTGGGCTACACATTTAAAAAAAAAGAAAGCAAAGTTGAAGAGAGATGAAAATAACTCAAATTCACTTAGCTGGTGCTTTTCTCATTGCTATGACTAAATATCTGACAAGAAGCAACTTAAGGGAGGGAATGTTTACTTTGGCTTGTAATTTAAGAAGATACAGTCTATTCTGGGAGGGAAAGCATGGTGGCATGGTGGCAAGAGCTGGTCACATTGAGTCTGCAGCCAGGAAAGAGGGAACAAACAGGAAGTAGGGCCAGGATATAAAACCTCAAGCACCCTCCTCACCATGGACCTATTACTCCAGCAAGGCTTTGCTTCCTGAAGATTGCACAACCTTCTGGAACAGTACCACCAACTGGGAACCAAGTTTCTAAGCCAATGAGCCTACAGAAGACCTTTCACATTTGAACTACAACAGCTGTGTGGTTTTTGTTTCTTTGCTTTTGTTTTACCAGTGTTTGTTTTTTCATCAATTTATTTTTTTTTAATTTCCTTCATGATAAACAGGGAGTTTGCCATCTTTTTTAAAGTAAACTTTCTGAAACAATATGTGCTTCACTATAGCAAATCAAATTTTAAGTACTAAATAGTTAGCAAATCTGGGGCTACAGATGTGGTTCAGTAAGTAAAAGTGCTTGCTGCATAAGCATGAGGACCTGAGTTTGGATCCTAAGCACACGTATAAAAAGCCAGACACAAGGGCACATACCTATAAACCCAACACCAGCAAGGGATTGGAGGGACTGAGACAGGAGGGTCTCCAGAGCTTGCTGTCAGCTAGTGTAGCCAAATCAGTGAGCTCCAAGTTTAGTAAGAGAACTTGCCTCAAAAATAAGGTGGAAAGTGGTAGAGGAAGATACTTAACATCAACCTCTGGCCTCTGCACCTGCACACACAGGCATATGAACCCCTGCCCCCTACACACATGTACCAACATGCATACAACACATAAGCAACTTAAAAAATAAGCATTAGCAAATCTACAATAAAATTTTCTCAGATACGGGATTAATGCATGTATGTGACTCAAGGACTTATTAAGTTTGAAAAAATCATACCTCAACACAGGTGAATTAATTTCTCAAGTAGAGATTGTTCTAGAACCAAACTCAAGAAAACAAAGATGCACTATCAATAACAAATCACAGATTCTCCAGCAAAGTGACAAATTAGAAGATCAGGAGGTAGGAATGAAAAAGTATACTGTAGTCCTGTATTCACAAACTCATCTTAAGAATGTTTTCCAGAATAAATTTATAAAAATATTTGTACTGCAGTCTGTGTAAAATAAATATTATTCATTATAAATAAATGTACAAGAGTAAGTCTTACAGTTAAACTTCACATGCTTACTTTCAGGTGATAGAAAATGATCAAAAGTTCTCTCTATTCATATTTATCTGAACTGGTGATTTGTATTCTATCAGCTATAATTTAGTGATTTTATTTGATAATTATATTGAGTCTTTTTACATTCCGCACATGGGCATTGAATACTGTCAAGAAGATTGGAATGATTCTATTTTAAAAATAATTTTCCGACATGACTAAATTCATTCAGTTCCCTATAAAACTGAAACTTCTTATTGCAAGTATCTAACAGTACAACATAGATTTAAAGATTTCTAATACACTAATACAAAGTGCATGTTTATATACAGATCCTAAAGGCAGACAGGTAGAAGGGGGAAAAGACTGTTGTTGAGTTCTAGTAATAAATAAATACAAAAGAGACAATCCATATTGCAGTGGTTTGAATGTGAAATGCCCCCCTGCCACAGTCTCACATTTTTAAATAATTGGTCTCCAGTTTGTGATGTTTGGGGAAATGATGGAACTTTCAGAAAGTAGAGCCTTGTTGGAGGAATTACATCACTGGGGGCAGGTTTTAAGGGTTTATAGCCTTGCCCTACTTCCTCTTTGCTTTCATGTACAGAAGAAATGTGATCATCCAGCTTCCTCCCCCTGCTGGCATGCCCCGCCTTCAGGCCATTGTGGACTCCAGCCCTCAGGGGCATAAACTAAAATAAGTTCTTCCTTAACTTACTGTTGGTCATAGTATTTTATTATAGCAACAGAAAAACAACTGACATATGTATTAGAATAGTCTAACACCCATGCTATAGTCAATGTAGCCAAAACTTCCATCTCAAAATAACTCAGGAGGATAATTGTGACTGGGCTCCTGAATTCCACCTCAGTCCTAAGTCACTGGATAGTCTGAGTATTTAGTAGCTTGTACTACATCAAATTTTCCCCAAAGAAAAAAAAGAAGGTTTAGACTGAGAACTATAAAACTTAGGGTACCCATAAAAAGTGGTTCACTTCTTGTTATGATACTATTCAGTTTTAAAAATGAGTTTTTTGAGAGAAAGATCAGTCATGGCTTTCTGGTGCAAACAGCTTAAAGGGGGAAGTAATTTCTAGACACACAGGAGCTCTGTAATCACCTCTTTTCCAAAATTCAGGAAGCAGTAGCACCTCCTTGTTGGAGGACCCTGTGCTTACTTTACAATTCTGGTTGAGAATAGACACATAAATCAAAGTTTAATCAAATATTAGGATGAAGGAGGTAACTCAAGATGCTACATGAACAGGTGTGCTCCCTGTGTGTTTAGAAATTACTTCCTCCTTCAGGCTGTTTGTACCAGAAAACTCCTCTGTCCTGCTTAATAATGACTTGTACAGGTTTGAATCACCAAATCTTGTCAAGGCCTTAACATTTAAAGATTAGTAACTATCACTGAGTTATAACAAATTATCATCACTAGTAGAACAAGCATAGCAGTCATCTCATGAAAAAAGTACCCCCACCACTGCCTCTCAGCATAGAAAGATTAAAACCATATATAGTTTATCATATAACGAACCATCTCTGTGCTCCGAAATTCCCCCAATATCATTCACTGAACAGAGATTAAAAAATACTTTAACGCAGCATTCAGGCTTTCCGTGAGACCCCCAGCATCTTAAATATCTTGTGCACTTCTTTTTTTCTTACAGTTAGTTAAAGATTGACTTCTGAGTTTGCAGGTCTTGGGGGTAAAATAGCTCATTCAAAACTATTCAATAAAATGTCTTCTCGCAGAACAGTAGTTATCCAAGTTAAAACTAGGTGGTCAGTTTGTTGCTTTGTGATCTTTTTAAAAATGTAATGGCTTTTTGTTCCCTGCTGTGTGCCCTCAGTCTCCATTCCTGAGCAGAGATGGGCAGAGACCCAGGCCCCACAGCTCCGGCTTCTCAGCAGCTGATTTCTTACTGCTATAAGCAGACTTGAATAGATGTATGCAGATGAAGACTTCCCTTATAATTGATCCCACAACATATATTCCATCTTTTCCGGTATGTAAGATCTTAAAAAGAAAAACTGGTATTCTTTTGGAACTGATAGCCATTTCTGCATCTGTGACATCATCTCATCATCTCATGAGTCACTGTAAAGCAGACACAGCTTGGGAGGAACTTGAGGTGATACTGTGATTAAACTATGATGTTAAATCTGGTTGCTTTCTAGAGTTTTAATGTCATCTTTACACTAGATCCTGCCTTTGCATCTACCACATGATTACATATATATATATTTTTAGTCCTACTGGTGATTTTTACATTTACACAAGCAGTACATGGGCACTGCAAATGTCTCCCAACCAAAACAGCTTTGGAGGTTCTTTTCCTATTTATTTATTTATTTATTTATTTGTTTGTTTGTTTGTTTACTATATTTGTATTTATTATTTTTAAATACTTTATGTGTATAAGTGTATTTCTTGCATTTATGTAAGTGCATCAAGGTCATGCAACGCCCATGGAGATCAGAAGAGGATATCGGATCCCCTGGAACTGGAGTTACAGACAGTTGTTATCCATCATATAGGTGCTGGGAATTGAATCTAGGTCCTCTGCAAAAGCATCCAGTACTTAAACAGCTGAGACATCTCTCCAGCCCTGGAAGTCTTTTTCACAGTGTCTGCTGTCAGTGAATTCCAAATTGGAGGATTTGAAGGCACAAATACTACAGGCTTTCTATACTTTGCACATCTTTGACTTAGGAAAACCAAATACCTTTTCTTCTGGGCAATAGTCTCAGAAAGCAGCCAGATGACATTCAGTAA